TCCATAAATTCCAGCCAAATCCACCCACGTCTCAAACTTGAAAAAGTGCTTGTCCGACGTGACTCTCGAAATCCCGCTCGTCGAGATCGAAATCAATGAGAGCCCCAACTTTGTGTAGGAACCTGTAGAGATCATGGACCGAGAGGTCAAGCGAACAAAGCAAAGCCGTATCACGATAGTGAAGGTTCGTTGGAACGCCGAGCGAAGACCTGAATTCACTTGGGAGCGAGAGGATCAGATGGAACTAAAGTATCCTCATCTTTTGCTTCGCTAAACTGTAACTGCGCGTGTGCTTGAACTCTAATTTCGGGATGAAATTCCCTCTAACGGGGGGATAATGTGACAACCCGAAATTTTCATTTTGTATAAACTCCGCAGTCAAGCACATCAAATAATAGTCAAATTCATCCCGGTACATTTTTGGCCGGTTTTAAGTTCGTTTGGGTGTTTTATTTTAATTTTTCGTCAAACGAACAAATAAATGGAAGTATCCGTTAGGAGTGTTGTGTAACAAATAAACAATTAACACCTTATCTAGGTTTTTACGGCCAAACAAGGGGAGTTTGGGCCGTAAACTCCCTTTGACCATGGACTCATGCATATAGCATGAGTCTACCCTTCATTCTTCATTTTTCACTTCCTAACTCAAGAACACCAAGATTCTCTCTCAAGTATCATATCACATTTCTTCCAATCCTCCAAAAATGTAAGTATATCCTTCCTTGATTCGTTCATATAACACCTTATCTAGAGTTTATACTCGATTTCATCCATGGAAATCTCCTTTTTCTTAAATCTTCAAGTGTTCTTCAAAACACCAAGAACACCAAGAACACACACTAGTGTTCTTGGCCCTTAAACACTCTTACAAGCTTCCTATAAGTAAGTACACTTCTCCTATCTAGTTATTTGCTTAGGATACTTGTAAAAACATGGAAAAACATCAAGAACACCCAAGAACACTTGAGTTTACGGTCAAGGGATATCCTTGAACCGTAAACACCACCAAGTGGTGTTTAAGTGGCCCCATTACCTTCTATGGCTTGTATAATGGACTAGAACCTTCCATGCATGAACTAGAAACCCCAAAACACGAAAATATAGAAGTGGCCATGAGTTTATGGCCGTAAACTCGTGGGGGAAATGGTCCTAGAACCGTAAACCCATATGGTGCTACCATATGGGGAGTAAACTCCCATGTGAGGCCATACTCTCTTTAGATGCAACCCTTTAGTACTCCGAGCACTTGAAACAAAGTGTTTCCATGTATTAGGGTGTCTTTACTTGATAAATTAGTTGTTAAATGACTAATTAGATACATAAATGTATCATTGCATGTTAAATAGGATCCGCGTGTGTGTTCATGTCCTCACTCGACACTTAGCATCCTATACCATCCTTTCATCCGAATCACCCACTACAGGTGAGTTCATACCCCTTAATTAACCTTTTAAATCATTTTAAATGCTTTTATGGGGGGGGGGGGAATACAAGTTGAACTGATAAGTTATTATATCAATCACATGTGATTAATAACTGTCTAGCAAATAGATTTTTGCATGTTAAACCGTTTTATTCAGCTAAAGGTTTTCAAATCTTGTTTTCAAATCTCTTTTGAAAATACTAAAATCTCCTTTTAATTTATTACCTTTTTATGAAAGTCTTTTAGACTTAAATTCCTTGTTTAATTCATGTCTATATAGATATAGTTATATAAGTAGGGTTTGAAGGACTTAGGACTGATAACCCGCTTTATTTCCTGTTCCTTATTTGGTTGTGGACTTAGAGCATCCGGTTATTTGTCCGAGTGTCGTTGAAGTCCTAGTTATATATTATGTATATCTGGTTAGATATTAAAACTCTTATTCTAGTTCAACACCTTTGGGTAGCAAAGGCACCTAGATAACCTCTCAAGTAAACTATAATAGGTATAGTTTAGAAACCAACCATAACTTTCATGAAGGAGAACTTAATTATATCTATATCCTAAAAACTTGTAGTTTTAGTAAAAGGAAAGGTTTATAGAAATCAAAACACGAGATACATCCTCATGACGTGGATTTCACCGTTGTCAAGTTGGTAACCAGAGTCTCCTGGAGGGAGAGCGGGCATTGTGTGTATAGATCTATACGGGACAGACCATCCCACATCCAGACTGCTAGCTACAGTCCCGGCCGACCAAGCCAAGGGGTGACAAATGTCACATTCATTTCGACGCCAGCAGGTCGTCGTGTTTACATCCGTCAATCAGTATGGTTACGAGTATCTTTACAGTTACCTTATAATTCATGGCTTTAAGGTAAGTATTATCACGGTATTTTCTACATATGAAACCATCATAATATATTTTCCTAGTTATACACTAGGCCACATTTTAAACCTTTAAACTAACCTACTTAGGATTAAAGGTTACTTTAGACTCCCCGAGGTGTATTATCCATTTAATACCACATGGAGTCTGTATTTTATTACTTTAGACTCCCCGAGGTGTATTGTCCATTTAATACTACCTGGAGTCTGTATTTTATTACTTTAGACTCCCCAAGGTGTATTGTCCATTTAATACCACCTGGAGTCTGTATTTTATTACTTTAGACTCCCCGAGGTGTATTGTCCATTTAATACCACCTGGAGTCTGAATTTTACTAGTATAGACTCCCCAAGGTGTATTGTCCATTTAATACCACCTGGAGTCTGTATTTTACTACTTTAGACTCCCGGAGGTGTATTGTCCATTTAATACTACCTGAAGTTGTATTTTATTACTTTATAAACAGTAACGTCATTGCTGAAGTAAAGCATTATTTTCCCTATTACTTTTACTTGTGATCTTTTCACATATTCATTAAAGTATAAACTATATTTTGGTAACGATAGTGACTTTTAGGGGAAAATACTCCTTAAACAATAAAACAGTCGGGTCTTGGTAGAAGACTGCGTTTAGTAGAGAAACTCATTCATTTAAACATAAAACAATCGGGTCTTGGTAGAAGACTACTTTTATTAGGAAATATACGATTTTATGGAAGGAATTCTAGTACTCTGTAAACTCAAATCACCATCATCTAATGAGATTAATATGAAGAAAACATGTATTTAAATCAATGTCATTAAAATACTTATGAACTCACCAGCATTAAAATGCTGATACTCTCTTTCAAAATAACTTGTATTCTCAGGTCATCAGTAGACAGGTACACTCCGGAAGCTTTTGCGAAGTCAGCCTAGTACCAAGCTGCAGCTTATGTTATTTTCTATATCTACTTTTGGATGTTGTTGCTAAATATAACCTATGTAAAACTTATACTATTAATGCAATGGTTGTTGTACTTTGATTACTATACTGCATGTGTTGTGATACTTGACATGACGTCCTCCACCCCAGAACGTTTCCGCCGTTCCGGTTTTGGGGTGTGACACCATACTCCCGGATTAATGACAACTGACTAAGTCTTAATCCATACTCCCGGATTAATGAAAACTGACTAAGTCTTAATCTATACTACCGGATTAATGACAATTAGCTAAGTCCAATCCATACTCTCGGACTAGGGACGAATAACTATGTCTAATCCATGTTTCCGGATCAATGAAATATGTTAATGTTCTATTCTCCGTATATATCTCACTCGTACTCATGAAGAGATACTACCCCATAACCATTATAACCAATCTTAGGTTTACTCTTTCACCTAAGTTATCATAAACAATCAGGTATGTTCTTTAACACTTAATTCAGAAATCATCAAATAACTCACACAAAACATATATTTAATACATTCAAACAATACTTGTATTAAAATCATGTTCATGAAAGGGACTATGCACTCACTTGATAAGACGATGATCGGGCAGCACTACGGCTCTTCGAGTAGAAATTCTCCGGTGAAATCGGGATGTTTCTTGAAAACCAAGCCTCTCGCGGGTAGAGTTTCGGCTCAGAAACTTTACTTCTCGGGATCCTCGGGGCTTCGGGACTTGCTTCGGGTCTCGGGAATGATACCGGGGCTTCGGGGTATAAGTTACACGCAAAACGAGGCAATAACAAGTGAGAGAGAAGAATTTGAGCACTAAAACTCGGCAGCCCACGACATCTATTTATAGGGGCTGATCCATGCGATTACGCTGGGCGTAACTTCAGAGTACGCTGGGCGTACTCCCTGTACAAGCAGTACGTTGGGCGTACTTCGGTTACGCTGGGCGTACTCTTCGGATAAGCTTTGGTATGTGTGCCTCGAACTTCAAAAATTCATAACTTTCGCATACGAGCTCCATTTTCGACGTTCTTTATATCCACGCGTAGGTGAGACTATGATATACAACTTTCATTTAGACTCCGTCGGCTAATTTTAAATTTATTTTTATTATATTATTTTTAGTAGGCGGGGATAGGAAAACTCCGTTAAAAAATCATAACTTCTTCATCTGACGTCCGTTTTCTTCTGTCTTTTTACCGTTGGACTACTAACGATGAGATCTTCGATTCTCGTTTAGATTGTTTCGGCCAAATATCACTCGAACTCAATTTGGAGATTTGGGCTGTATACCGCTAATTCGAAACTTAGAAAAATCATAACTTCCTCATACGAAGTCAGATTTAGACGTTCTTTTTATGCACGCTCTCGGTTTAATGAACTCTACGACTTTCGTTTAGACCACTAAGGCTAAATATCGCTCTATTGCAAGTTCACTATTTACGTCGCGCTGTGTCGTGTCGGTTCTATCGCGAAACTTCGATAGGTCATAACTTCTTCGTTATAACTCGGATTTTGGCGTTCTTTATATGTACGGAATCCTTGTAACATATACTACAACTTAGTTAAGATTACTCCTTCTAAATTATCTTCCATCAAAAAGTCATTTTTGATGCTTATCGTCTCTAAATTGACTAGCCCCGATCTACGGGCGTTACAACCAGCTTTATTTTGAAAAAAAGTGATAGAGTGACGGTTATAGCTAAGTGTGGTAGTGGAACCAGGGACATCAATGATAATAACAAAATGCAGTGTCCATTTAGGGTTGCAGCTGGATGGAAGTACAATGAAAGAACATTTCAGATAAAATTTTGTAATGAAATGCATCTGTGTGCTAGGAATTATCATTTTGGTTCCTTAGTTACTAGCAATAGGTTAGCCAAACACTACCTGAAAGATGTCATCATGAAGCCCAAGATGACATTGCTAGAGATGCAAGCAGATGTGCTACAAAGGTTTTCAGTGAGTGTATCTCTTGGGCAATGCCAAAGAGCAAGGGCTACTGCAATGGGGATGATAGAAGGGAAGTTAGAAGACCACTATGCCAAGGTTTGGGACTATGCGGCTGTAATTAGGTTGAGTAATCCGGGTACAACTTGTTTGGTGGGGGTAGAAAGTAATCTGGGGTGTAACTATTTCAAAAGGTTTTATGTTGGCTTCAAGGCTTTCAGAGATGGATGGAGCAGAGGATGTAGAAGGGTAACATGACTACATGGTAGTTTCTTGAAGGGGCAGGTTAAGGGGAGATTTTAACTGCTATTGGGAGGGATGCAGACAACCATGTCTACCCAATAGCATGGGCAGTTGTGAATGTTGAGAATAAGGACAACTGGACCTGGTTCATTGATAATTTGGTTGCTGATTTGAATCTTGGTGCTGGCAATGGATTGGTTGTTATCTCAGACCAAAACAATATATATTTGTATACAATATATATTTGTATGTTACAGTCATTAATATTTACATGTGTTGTGTTGTGGTTGTTTGTTAATTATAGGGACTTTTACAGGCTGTGGCATACCTACTCCCTCATGTTGAGCACAGACAATGTTCTAGACACATCTTTGGAAACTTTAGAAATAAATACACAGGATTAGAGCTAAAGAATTTGTTCTGGGAAGCTGCTATGAGTACAGTGAAAGGGGACTTTCTTGCTACAATGGAGAAGATAAAGAAGATAACAGAAACAGGAAGCACATATCTTATGGCAAGGAAACCTGAAACTTGGTGCAGAGCATTCTTTTCTCATGGGTATGCTTGTGAAGCAGTATAGAATGGGGTTGCAGAATGCTTCAATGGCATGATCAAACAAATAAGGAAGAATCCTATAATCACAATGCTTGAGGAAATAAGGTTTCTCCTTATGAAAAGGTTTTTTCATCAAGGTCAAGAGGTAGCCAAATGGAGGGGTAATTATGGGCCTAACATACAACTGAAGCTTAACGAATTTGGGAAAAATATGAGGTAATATAAGTTTTTATTGGCATGTATCCAATAATATTAAGTATTTATGTGTACTTTGTTTGTTTTGTGTGTAGGTTGTGGACAGTGGTGCCAAGTGGTGGTGATGTGTTTGAGACTAGGTATGGCTACAATGGATACAAGGTTGATTTAGCCAATCACACTTGCACCTGCAACTTGTGGATGTTGTCGGGCATACCATGTGTGCATAGTCAAGCTGCAATCAATTATGTCCACAAAGATCCAAGTCAATTCCTTTCTTCTTGGTTCCACAAGGACAAATATGTTGCAACCTACAGTCAGAACATGCAACCTGTAGGTGGAAGCAACTTGTGGCCAATGACTGAGTTTATTAAACAATTACCACCCCAGTTAGAAGGATGCCTAGAAGACCCAAAGTAAATAGAGTGAAGCATGCATCTAAATCACAAGATGCCAAATACCCCTCACAAAGGTTAAAGGTTACTAGGACTGTGAGGTGTGGAAAGTGCCAACAACTTGGGCATAATAAGATTTCATGGACAAATGATGAGGTACCTAAGCCCCCTGTCCCAAAAAGGAGGATTGGAAGACCTAGGAAAGATGGGGGAGGCCAACCTATCTTTGACCAATTCCTTTCAGTTGATCCTGCTATACCAAGAAGTGATGCTGCTCCTCCCCTAATTTTAGAATGTGGTGATCAAGTTGGTGGGCCTGATATACCAAGAAGTGATGTTACTCCTCCCCCAGTTTCAGAATCTGGTAATCAAGTAGGTGGTCCTAATGTTAGTCCTATGAAAAGGACTAAGATGATGGCAAGGAGAGGAGGGAAAACTAAAGTGTCTGGATCAAGGAACAAAACACCAAAGAAAACACCTAATGGTAAGAAACATAAGAGTAAAGCAAAGGAGGATGTGTCCCTAACCTGTGATGAGGATTTTGTTGATCTTTTTACCCATGCACCTACTGGTAAGCAAGGTATGAGTCAAGCAAAAGAGGATGTTCAGGAACAAGAACATGATGACAATGAGGTGAAGGTGAGTGAAAGACTTACTTTACAGGAGTTGCTGATGTCTGGATATACACATGCTGATGCAGTGGATGCTATGAAAGAGGTATGTTCTGGTAATCACTATTTTTGGCTTTCATATTGTAGATTTACTAACTAGCCCTCCATATTGTAGGTTTATGGAAAGGTTGAGGAACAACAGATTGAAGAAAAAGAGGCTGAGGAAGGAGTTGAAGAGGTTAAAGAAAAAGAGGCTGAGGAAGAAGAAGTTGAAGAGAGAGAGGTTAAGGAACAACTGATTGAAGAAGGAGAGGTTGATAAAGGAGTTGAAGAGAGAGAGGTTGAAGAAGATGAAATTGAAGGCATACAGGTTGAGGAAGAAGAAGTTGAAGGCATAGTGGTTGAGGAAGAAAGAGTTGAAGAGAGAGAGGTTGGAGCAAGAGTCCTATCCTCCAGAAGAAGTTATGGTGCTTAGAATTTCCATTGGGAGAAAAAGAGGAAACCGTCTGAAAGAATTAGGAAAGTGAAGCTCAGGAAAATGGTTGAAGATGCCGATGGTGGTGGTTCCTCCAAAACCCCTTGGGTTTTAGAGTAAGGAGTTGTGTTTTAGGGTTCAATGGGTAGAATGGGCATTAGTAAATAGGTTGCCCTTTTTGTAAACATCTACTTTGGGTACACTTGTCTTTTGGTAACAAGCTTCCAATTCATATCCATAATGTTTGGTAGAATTGGAAGTTTGGTTCTAATTAGGTTAAATGGTATGATAGTGGTTTGTGGGAAGCATTGTAAAGTACATTCCCATTTTTGGGCTGTTAACTGACATTGATATTTGGTATGATTGTTAAGTTATCAATATATATATATATATATATATATATATATATATATATATATATATATATATATATATGCCTTGATCACTATAACTGTTGTCACCTTCCATATTTTGGTTAGCTTGGTAAGTAGGTTAATACATATGTATGTGTTAAATGACTTAATTGTAATTGTTTTTACCTTCCATGATTTGTTTATTTTTATACATATGTATGTGTTAAAGGACTTAATATATTGTTATCATTAAGATATAATAAGTTGTTTTCATTGTCATCTCTTACAAAACCAAAATATTGACATACATAACACATGCATCTACTTACTGCCTAACTTGACCAAAATACCCTTACACCTAAACTACTACTACCATTCCACCTGAACCAAACTAATGCCCACAACTTCACAGTGCTTTAACCATAACATTGTGAACCATAAACCCATCACTATCACCACCACCAAAAGCATGACCATCATAAGTAGCTCCACCTTCAACCGGTTTAAAATATCCAGTTGAACTGCTTTGTTGTTCTTGGCCTCCTCCGAAAGCTTCAAAACCTCCATTCCAAATGCTTTATTGTTGTTAGCCTCCTCCAAATCCATATGGAACTTCCACATAGTTTCCTTGTAGTAAGTGTTTGGCAGGGGTGGATCAAGCCATAAAAAAAATTCGCATTTTTTTAAGTTCTGCACAACAATCACTTGTTCATAATGGTTCAACAAGACCACAAAAAATTACTTAATATTACCTTATAGTTTAGACACCCCCTAAATTTCCTCCATGGATTATCGACAATTTTGGAGATCGAGAATGTCGCAGGTTCATCACATTTGCATCTCAAATCTTCAGACCAACGATTCCTTAAAGCCCACTCTTTGTAACCTTGTGTGTGCGTGTTGGAGGAGCTTACCATCTTTTTGGTTTGACGTTGGAGAGAAGAATCGACCCAAAACTACCTCCAACGTTCGACTAAGCTATGCAACCTGTTGAAACCGGTGAAACCGACTCTTTGCCCTCAAACGATAAGTCAATGAGAATATCGTGGTCACATTAAATGAAAAATTAAATTCAGGGCTTTTTCCAATTTAGTGCCAAAAACATGGGACTTTAGTGATATTAGTCCATAAAAGAATCCTACAAGATGGAAAAGTTGACCCGAATCTACATCAAGGAGATCGTGAGACTCCATGGAGTGCCATTATCTATTATCTCGGATCGAGATAGTAGGTTCACTTCAAAATTCTAGCAATCTCTCCAGAAGGCAATGGGAACACAGCTAAATATGAGCCCCGCCTATCACCCACAGACGGATGGTCAGAACGAGCGTACCATCCTGACACTTGAGGATATGCTTCGAGCTTGCATGATTGACTTCGGCAAGTCATGGGATGCCTACTTGCCTCTGATCGAATTCTCATACAACAACAGTTACCACACGAGCATCAAGGTTGCTCTTTACGAGGCTCTCTACGGACGTAAATGCAGATCGCCCCTATGCTGGGCCGAGGTGGGTGACACCCAACTAGCAAAAGGGAAATCGCCAGCCAGTGCTCTTACAGGACCCGAAATCATCCATGAAACAACCTAAAAGATAATCCAAATCAATGCTCGACTTCTAGCATCGCGAGACCGACAGAAGAGCTATCCTGACAAGCGGCGAAAGCCATTAGAATTTCAAGTCGGGGATCGCGTGTTATTAAAGGTCTCTCCTTGGAAAGGAATGATTCTCTTTGGGAAATAGGGAAAACTGAACCCACGATACATTGAACCGTTCGAGATTCTTGCCCGGATTGGTCTAGTGGCTTACAAGCTAAAGCTACCCGCCGAGCTCAGCAACGTACACCCCGTGTTTCACATCTCAAATATGAAAAAGTGCCTATCAGATGAAACTCTTGTCATTCCTATAGAAGAGATCGAGATCAACGAGAATCTCCTGTTCGTCGAAGAACCAGTTGAGATATTGGATATGGAAGTAAAGCGTACAAAGCAAAACCGCATTCCGATTGTGAAGGTTCGACGGAACGCCAAACATGGACCGGAATTCACATGGGAACGCGAAGATCAAATGAAGCAGAAGTACCCTCACTTATTTTCTCTTTCATAATTCTAGTTTTCGAAAGAATTTCGGGACGAAATTCACTTTAACGGGGGGATGATGTCACAACTGGCATTTTTGCCAGGAAATTATGTGATCATGTAAACATCAACTATGATAATACTTGTAACATTAACTTGATACCATACACTACGTTCATTCTATGACCACAAACTTAATCAAGATGCACAAGTGAAGTTCAAAACTCTACACAAAGTATCCAAATAGTTAATTGGGGAGTTGAAAACCCTAGAGACCCTGGTTCAAGTTCATTATGAACTAGGATTTCCTTATTGGGCCTAATGGACCAATAAGCATTCAATTCAACTACATTGGGCTTGGAAACCTTATTTGGATTCTAAATAGACCCAATTCATAAATCTATAACATTTTGGACCATTTGGGCCTAGAATGATTCATTCTAACCCTAATGGGCCTTATTGGGCCATAAATGAATTAATTTGCCCTATTGGGCCATAAACTCCCTTTTGTCTTTCAAATGGGTCGTGGACCATCTAATGAGCCCAATGGGCCGAAAAGTAATTATTGGGCCTCATAATTTCGAACCAAGGCTAGGAATGGGCCAAGCTAATCCACCTCCTTTCTCTTTAAGCCTATTCTCGTCCCAATGAGGAAAAGAAAAGAAAAATAAAGGGATATTAGAGGAATTATGAGAGCTTGCCGCCTCTTTATTGCATGGTGGATCTCCATGCACATCACCTCACTCCCTCCCTCTTATCTTCTTCTTCTTCTCGGCCGAACCTCACTCTCACCACCTCATTCTCTTTCAAAAATCTTTCAAGAACAGTCTCTCTAGAAAACCTCCTCTCTTCTCCAAAATTTTCGAAGATCGAGGGTTGTTCAAGGAGATTTCGACCAAAAATCATCTTTCTTTGGTAAGTTCCTACATATCCAAGTTATATAACTTCATTCTTATGTTAAGAACACTTCTCCTAAACATTTTTGGTGATCACACTCTTAGAAAACCCCCATAAGCTCGAGATCTACTCAAGAAGACTTGCTAGGGCCGAAAACACACTCATTTCTTCTTCAAATCGAGATCAAACAAGCAAGGTGAGTTCATACCCCCTGGTTTTTGGTTTTCACTTGTTTTTGGGGGAGAATACAAGTATTTATGTGTAGATCTATGTGTTTATGCATGTTATGTGTGATTTTCTTGGCTTTTGTTTGTGTTTGGGTGAAAAATCGATGGATCTATAAAACTATAACAAAAATAAGTGTGAATCACAAACAAAGACACTCTAGACACTATACTATAAAGTTAAAAGTGTTAGAAATGCCTAACTTGTTAAAAACCAAACAAAATCTTGTGTAGGGATCATTTTTGGCAAATAAATAAAAGTTTGGGGTAAAGAGTGACACCTACGGTTTTATAAGGACTAAAAAGGTATTATTGGCTTAAAAATGAGTTTTTATAACAACCATAGTTTTCTAAGGGTCAAAAGTGTAAAATTTAGCATTTGGGCCTTAATGTGGGCCTCACGGCCTATTGGGCCCAAATTGCGAAAAATAATAATCTTTGGGGATAAAAATGTTATTTAATCAAAACTTGAGCCAGAAATGAGAATAAACAAGATTAGGGGCTGAAAATGACACTATCTCAAGATTTGGACCAAAAATGTTAATTTTATAAAAAGTGGGCCAAAAATGTCATTTTATGCAAATAAGGGCTGAAATTGTAATTTTCTGCAAAAATGGACTAAAAATGTCATTATATGCATTTTTTGGGCCAAACCCGTCAATCACTAAACAATTGGGGCGAAAATATAGATTTTTATAAATTTATGGACTAAAATGTTATTTTTAATTTAAAATAGACCAAAATGACATTTTATGTAAAATAAGCCCTTAAATGTTCAAATTAGTTCTCAAGGGACCTAAAGTGTAATTTGTAATAAAAACGAGTTCAAATTATAGAATTTTGACGTATTAAACTAAAAAGATCATTATAACGAAACATTGGACTTTTATAACGTTACGGGTAAATAATTCGATTAAACGAAATACAACAATGGTGCGATTATTGGGCCTAGTATTTGTTATACATGTTTATTGGGCCTTCGTGATCCAATTACATGTTTATTGGGCCCAATGTATTCATCACACGTCTGTTGGGCCTCAGTGACCCAATTACATGCTAAATTTGCCTAATTTAGCATTTACATGTTGTTGGGCCTTAGTGGCCCATTTACATGCTAATTTAGCCTGGAAATAACTTACACGTCTAATGGGCCATAGTTGCCTTTTCTTCATGTTTGTTGGGCCTTATCTTGTCATTTCGTACATTATCAGTGTTCGAACTTCTAAATACATATAACATTATACAATTCATGTGGAGAAAAATGGGATCTAGTGAGACGTGTCGGTTGACACCACTGAGTGTATGACCGTAGCTTGTAGTTATAATCAGAGTCTTCTGGAGGGAGATCAAGAGTTTATGTATAGATCTATACAGAGGTGACTCCCCCACACCTGAGCTGTTCACTACAGTTAGACTAGGCCAGTATAGGGTGACAAAACCTTGAAC